CGTTCAACCAGGAGATCCAGGTGGACTTCTTCTTTCTCTGGGAGAACACGTTCATGCTGATCATCGACGTGGCCACCCGGTACAAGACAGCAGTCAGAGTCACGAGCCGGGAGCTGCGTCCTACTTTGAGGACGCTGATGACCAACTGGTTCAGATGGTTTGGACCTCCAAGGACCCACGAGGCAGGCGCTGAGATGGAGCGACTCAACATCCGACGGAACCCTTCCGGAACCAGCCTCATCTCAGAAGACAGCAACCGGACTGGTCGAGAAGCATGTGGACCTGACGAAGCTGGTCATGCTGAAGACCAAGGCAGAGCTCGAGAGACAGGTTGCCGAGGTGGACTACGGCGATATTGCCATGGAAGCCGCCATGGCGCAGAACCTGACCCTCAACCTTGGTGGATATACTCCACACATGTGCGTCACAGGCGCGCTGCCTTTTCCGTTCTACGACGTGGATTCTGTGGGACTGCAATCTGTCCACGGCACCACAGATCAGATGGCCATCTCCGTCTACGAGCAAGCACTACGACTCAGGCAGGCAGCGCTCACAGCAGCCACGCAGAGCATCATGGAGTCACGACTGGTGCGGGCTGGACGCACGAGACCTCAGCAGGTACCTGTCGGAGAGCTGAAGCCAGGCATCTCCGAAGTGGAGTTCCACCGCGAAGGCATGGATGAGTTCGGCTGGCGAGGACCTGCTACGCTCCTCAAGATTGGGGACGGCAACGCGATTATCGAGTACCAGGGGAAACCATACCTCATTCCTCTTCGGTGTCTACGGCACTTCCGTGGAGTCTTCTTCGTTGACGAGTTGGAGGACCAGCAGAAAGAGATGGACTCCTGGAGAGCGCTGAGGAGGATCATGAAGTACGTGGAGAACCTGAGTCCCTACAAGGAGCACACTCTCGGCTACATCAACCACCACAACAAGTGGATCCAGATGCCCCGCGACATGGTGAACTCGGAACGCGAGAACCTTCTCAGCGACATCCAGACGGCGTCCAAGTTTGTCATGGATGACCAGTGTCACGGGATGCGAGCAGGAGTTGGGTTGAAGAAGCTGAATACGCCCGGCAACACCCAGGGCGTGTTGATCTGCTGGCCGAAGAACACAAATCGGCTCACGTTCCTTGAGAACCCCAACAGCAAGACCATGATCGTCAAGAAGCTCTCTAGCATGCATAGAGACGACGTGTGCATGCTCTACCTGTATCACTACGGCGACAAGCAGTTGGAGGAGGAACCACGCAGTCAACCACCACCATATCAACCTCAACCACCAGCAAGCATGGACGTGGACAACCAAGGTGCCGGGCGAGCTGACAAGAGGTCTGGCACAGACACCAGGACAGTCACTTTTGGACTTGAGGCGAAGAAGCAGAAGTACGCCTACGCTGACTATGGTGATCGAGCGCAAGAGGTATTTCTATCTATGCACCAGAGACGCTGGGAAACACAGCTACCTGCGGAAGAACCATCAGGAGCTGAAGCCTCACCTCGCACTACCACCACAAATCCACAACAACAGGAGACGCCTAACTACACCACCGAGCACACCTTGACAGCCACCAACCTCTTCACCATGCACGGCACGAACGCCGACAAGTACTACGCGGACATCCGCAAGGGCGGCATCTTCAGAGTCGACACAAGCACCGACTCGATCCATGAAGACCAGGTGTACGGAATCTGGGATCAAGTGGATGCCGCGGACAAGAAAGAGGTTTCGCAATTCCTTCAGGAGAAAGCCTTCAAGAAGGTGAAGCGCTCAGATCTTGGCAAGGACGCCATACTGATCGACGCGATATGGGTGAGAAAATGGAAGAAGCAAGAGGCTTCTCGGGTGGTGAAGTCACGGCTTTGTGCTCGAGGATGCCACGACCCCTTCAAGCAGGAGATGTCGAACAGGAGCACGACGGCCACTCGACTCTCGCAACGGCTTCTGGTTATCACTGCCACAAACAAGCGGGAGCCCATCGAGAGTTGGGACGTGGCTGGAGCGTTTCTGAAGGGACTGACCTACGACAAGCTCTACAAGCGCCTCAAGGAGCTGGGCATCAAGACAGTTGAAAGGGTAGTTGCCATTGTGGTGCCAGCAAATGTTTGGAGACACCTCGGGGAGATGGACCGGGAGTTCTACCTGAAGCCAGGTGAGGAGGACGAGTACGCTCTCATCTGCCTGAAACCGGTTTATGGACTCTCAGAGGCCCCACTGGCATGGCAACTCTACCTGCATCAGTGCCTGGCGGAGATGGGCGCGGTTCAGAGCGTCTTCGACGAGAACTACTGGGTCTGGCGACAGCCTCAACGGGATGACTCAATCATCCAATGGCCAGTCGCTAGCATCACGACTCACGTGGACGATCTGGCGGCGACCGCAGGTCAGAAGTGGCTGGACACCATGTATGCACGCATGGTGGCGAAGTTCGGGAAGCTCTCAAGGCAAGTTCTCCCTTTCGCTCATTGTGGATGCACCTACTCGCGCATCGCTGACGGCTACAAGATCGACCAAACAGACTACGTCAAGATGCTGAAGGCGCCAGAGATCGAGAAGGAGATCGCCGACGACCATCCTCTCAACCCGCAGCAGGTCACACAGCTGCGATCTGTCGTTGGTGGATTGATGTGGGCATGTGTGACACGCCCTGACATCATGGCTGAGCTGGCGCAATTGCAGGGCATCGTCACAAGGGCATGTGGACGTCACCTACATCAAGCCAAGGCCCTGGTGAAGCGAGCACAAGCTGACGCAGAAGCTTGCCTTATCTACCTACCTCTACCACGGCGACACCTTCGGCTGTTTTGCATACATGACGCTTCCGCGGCAAGTTCAACCAAGAACTATGCACAGGAAGGCGTGGTGATCTTGCTCATGGCAGACAACATCAACATGGAGAAGGAGCACTATGTGGCGGACGACAGCTTCGCTCAGAATCAGCTCTCTGGAAGAGCTCAACTGGTCTACGCTAGCAGCAACAAGGCGAAGCGGATCAGTTATTCCACGAGCCACGGAGAAACACTAGCGGCCATCAATGGACTGGAGAACGCGACACTCCTGTCCGCTAGATTCTCCGAGATCACTACGGGAGGCAACAAGCCGAGCATACACGACCTACTTGCAGTTCAGGAACATGGAGCACGTCACTTCCCAGTAGACGCTGCCACAGACTGCAGGGACGTCTTCGAGTTGACAACAGGCCATAGGAGTCTTCCACAGGACAAGAGCCAGAGACTCTACATTCTGGCACATCGTGAAGCGCGAGCAGCTGGACGACTTCGATGGTTTGTCTTGCTGCCCACGGAATGCATGACGGCGGACAGCCTCACCAAGGTGATGCAATGTCCCAACATGATGGAGCTCCTCACGACCGGTCGGGTGAAGTTCTTCAACACCGGCCACTCCATCGAGATGAAGCGTTTGCCACCGCAGACATCAGTCTCCGAGGAGGACCTGTTGGAGGGTGACAACGCCATCATCAGGAACACCGAGAAGGCTATAAAGGAGCTCTACGCGCACTTCGGCTGGGTATGTGCAGCAACTGCATTCGGCTTCAGCAACAAGAAGCCACTGGCACGGGCGGTTTTCTTCGCCTCAATGCTCACGCAGACAGCTGCCCATAAGACAGAGGATACAGAGGACTGGATCATGGGGTACTTCATGATCCTCGCAACGATGGGTGTGATCGCCATCACCCTTATGCTGGAGTGGTCCAGACAGTCATTCTGGACCTGGACGCATGGAAGCTCAACGTCACGGACGACTGCGAGCACACAGACGGACAACAACAAGACGCTTTTCAGTGAGCGGGAAACCGCAAATGCACGACAAGGCCCGAATGGAGCCGCAGTTTTTGTCACTAGGCATGGCACTAGGTACCATAAGAAAGGGTGCCATCACGCTCATGGCGCAACAGCCTATGAGCCATGTGGCCATTGCCTCGGCCACTGAGCCCAGGACATGAAGCGGAGTGAAATTACACACCCGCCGACAGCCCGGGCTTGAGCATAGGAAATAGCGCTTTGTTCGAGCGTGTGTGTGTGTGTGTCTTTTTCTGAATGTGAGATTTGGGCAAATGAGGACGACCACGGGTTTTAGGGTTTAGACGTTTTTTGCTTCTGATTATGAGGTTTGGGCAAAACGTCCCGGTAGTGAACGGTTCATTTGGAAGGGACTTTGAGAAACTCACGAAGTTTCAACAAAGCAGGCCGCGCCCTACTTGTCCAATTTCCTCGGCAGGGGAAACAAGCAACTTTCACCGCTCATACGGGTTTGCCGCTTTCTTTAGGGCTTGTTATGTTTGATTTTCTACTCGGAAAAAGGGAAAGCACTCATTGTGGGGGTTCCACATTTAGGCAAACCCATATAGTCCTTGGGTCAGTTGAAAAAAGGGTGCAAAAGCCCATTTCAAACTCGCAGCTTTTGAAAGGTTTGGGGCAATGCGAAGACTACGAACGAGGTTCCAAAAGTTCAATCCGTTATTTTCCTGAAATTCGCGGGACAGAAAAAATGGTTCGTCAAGGCCATCATCTTAAGTCCTATGGGCATCTCTCAATGCCTCTGTTTGGAAGCTTAGGCCCCAAGGTGACCTTTCGTAGTATGCGGGCTTCACGTTTAAGTAGCGCACCGGACGCAAAGTGGGCCTTAGCCCTTTTGGAAGCCAAGTGGCTTTTCCATGAAACCTGGGTCGACGAAGCGACCCTTTGCACTCGTTCGGGGGGCTTGCCGGGAGCCTCAAAAGTGATTGGTGGACATGAATCCCCACCTAAAATGATGTTCACCAAAGGTCTCTTAGAATTCATACCCATACGGTTCCCCCCTGTCTCCCGATTCCTCCCTGAGAAAGGGTGGTATTTTTTATATGTGTTCCCCCCTTTCTCCCTGAGAGTTATGTGGTTTGGGGGTAAGCGTTTGGGATATATGATATATCCCCTTTCTCCCTGATGGCCTTCCTGGGGGTTACCATCCAGCATGAAAAAAAAGTCTCGGGTTGGTAGGTTGCTCTTAGCGGTGCGGGCCTACCTCCGGAAGCAGGGGCTCCACTTCTTCTGCCTCAGCCTCTGCTCCGTGCTCATCTTCATCGACACCTGCCGCGCCTGCGAGGAGCGGTAGGGCCAGCGGAGAGCCAAAGAGGCAAACGATTCGGCTCACCACGGCGGACGCCCTTTTTTTTTTTCGGGGGGGGGGGGGGATAGTTGTCCGTGTTTCCCAAAATTGGTTGGCTTGGGTGGTTGACATAGAGGTCCATGTTTCCCCAAAATGGGCACACCGACCACAAGAGGTCTGCGAGTTTGAGAAACCGCACAAATCGCAAGTGAAGGAGCCAGGGAATCGTTCAATTTACCAGGCCTAGGGCAACCATCGCGTTTGTAGCTCCAAGAACCCACAAGCAGACCCCTTGTTTTACTTGCTGGTGCGATACGTAGGGAATCTGGGAAGGAACCCGGAAAATTCCAACTTAAACGAAACCGCCAGCTCGATGGTTTATATAATGAAGGGTCATGAGCCATGTCTCATTCCCTGCATCTCTCGCACCGATCGCACATGAGCCACAATCAAAACCCAGTTAGATGAAGGCTAAGGGGCTCCCAGCCAGCAGTAGTTGAGGAGATCCTTCTTAATTCTTGAAGCATACTTCTGGGACGACCATTTGAATACAACGGGTTTTGAGCAAGTGACTTAGTTGGCTTCATTTTTTGGAGGGCGCCTTTTTTGGGTGGTTGGGGGGGGGGGGTTGGTGGTCTCCTGAAGATTTTCTGGCCCTCCGGGATCTCGCAGTTTCGCCCAGCCAGCCGCTGCCGGCCTTCGCCGCCATTTTCTTCCGGAGGACGACGCGGGGAACTACATCACCGCGGTGGCCTTTGCAGGCTTCGGCCTGCTGCTGAGCCTGGACCGCTTGCTCACCATCTACAAGAAGGGCAGGACACGCGCGGCGCGCTCGGAAAACGCGCGAACGGCGGGGTCGACCGGGTTTTCTGGGGCGAGGGCGTTGCCTCCGGAAATGGCTCATGGCCTTACGCAAGGAGAAAAACAAAAAAAACTGATTGAGGCGGCCCTCCAGACCACTCGGAAGCCAACACAGTGCAAGCAGATTGGCGCTTATCACACTGGTGGATCCCAAAGGGAAACCAAAAGGAAATCGATCATTTTAGGAAGCTGACCTGCTGATTTCATCAGCCAAGAGGCAAAACGGGAATCAAACACCGGATGGAGCAAAGCAGCCGAGCCCATGCGTGCAAGGCGCAGTAAAGCCACCATAGCCATCCCAAACCCAAAGCCATACCAAAATCAACGCTAAGCAAAACCCAACCCACACCAAAAAACCAGCAAGCCAAACTCACAAGACTGAACAACACTTACCAACAAGAGCCACAAAAGGAGAGGGCCCACACAAGAACTTGCTGGTTCTCAGGAAATGAGAAATGGTTTGATCCCTATAAACCCTAGTTTCCTCTTCAAGTTGAAAACCCATTAAACTGTTCATTCCCAAAACCCGGACTCGTTGTCATTCCCTACAAGGCCGGGCACCCCCATCCCATGGTTGTTGTTGATTTTGTTTTGCATTTTTGCTTATTGTGGTTTAGTGGGAGGTCCCCACTTAACTGCTAAAATCCGACAATTGTTGCTCCCCTTCCAACGTCATCCAAGATCCGCCCACGCCATCGATGCGCGCCGACTCGCGCGGATCGTAGGACCCACCAGGAGTCCTTGCTGGAGGCCAGCCCCCTGCGCCGCAACAGCGAGAGCCTGGAGTTGGGGTCCAGCGGTGGCCTGGCGTTAAATGCCGTGGACCCCTAATTACACCCTACTTCCTTTTGCGGGGTATTTGTAGAGGGTATTGGTACCCCATAAGTCGACCTCTACTAAAAGATGTTGTATTATTATGATGTATTTTTTGGTTACTCTAAACCCAATACCCGGCCTTTTTTCAGTTGGTATGATGTAGTTCCCCTCTACTAAAAAAAGGTTTGGTGTGTACCTTGTAAAACCAGGTGTTTTTCAAAAATACCCTGAAAAAAGCGGGCATTTTGAGTAGGGAAAAACGAGCAAAAAAAAACGTAGGGGCCGTTGGACGTTTTAGTCGCAAGCAGAACCTCGGGGAATGCCTCACTTCCTGAGGTCCTACAACTTTCAACCTTTGGGGAAGACCAGTTTGGTGGCAATCTACACCTTTTGGCGAACACCCCAAACTAGGACTACCCTCCCACCAATTAACCTGGAACCTGACAGGGAAATGGTCCCTTGAAAGGGAAGATGGTCCACACCAAAACCCCGCAAACTGTTTGGTTCCATGTTATTTGGTCGGAAGGTAATCTCGCTGGTTCGACATGCAGGCAAAGAGAAACGGAATGACCTCTCTAAACCATCCAACTGGTGGTGTCCTTTAAGTTGGAATCCCCAAAGGGTTCATTCCCAACACCCGGAAGGTCATTCCCTACTGAGTACCAGCAAGTATTGCTGGGGCCTCGTTAACTCACTTCCCGAGTTCTGGACTTTTAACTTTTTGGCCAGATCATTTTGGTGGCAATCAAAAAGTTTGGACAGTTTTTGTCCCATCCACAGATAATAAAGGACCCCCCCTCTCAGAAAAATATCTGGGCCTCGGGAATTTTGGAAACAATGATTGTATTCTCTATGCTTCGATTAATCGGGCACCGACATCAAACGAAGGGTAGACCAAACAATCCCAGACATAGGTGCCGCCTATTCGACATGGCTAGGCCATCTTAATAGGAGGTTTTTCGTATGAATGGCATTGGACCACCCAAATGGATGTTGGTTGTCCTTTTCGAGTCTATCCCTTGTGACCCTCTGAGCATCCCCCCTTTTTTGCGGTCTTAAAGAGCTAAGCTTCGGTGGATGCTCTAAACATAGGTCTTTCTCATCATTCGGGGGTCGCTATGGGCCGACTTCCTGAGGGCCCTGGGCCAGGTTGAATGGGAAGAAGCCGGTGCGTCAATGGTAAGCCAGGGGTGCTGTAGGAAAGATTGTTTCTCCAAACGCCTTTCCTGAGTTCCTCGACTTCAAGCGTTTTTTTGGGGACTGTGGTCACGGTTTGGGCCAGAGTACTCCGCACGCAGGTGCCGCACTTTAAAGAAGGAATGAGAAGGCGACATGTTTTTAGTGGTTTTACAAGAAAGTTCCTGGACTCTTTTTAAACTAATCCACTTGGTCAGAAGTATTACATGGGGGGTCCCTTGTTGTTGTGCAGGGGAAGCAAAAGGAAACCAACCTGAAGGATGCCTGTTGAGAAATGCCAAGCGGTCTTTTCGGTTTGGATTGGCGGCTTGAACCCCTCTGGAAGCGAAAGCAAACCAATCCCAACTCGCAACAGCAGTTTGAGTGACCCCCAAAGGATGAGGTAAACTAGGGGAGCGCTAGAATATGGGTCCGTCTTTTTTGAGGGTACCCCCTTCCAATGGGTTGCTTGAAAGAGAAAGGGAGAAAACTTCTGTCTTTTACTAGGAAAGGTTGAACACTTCCATTTTTGCGGGTGGGATCCAAATGGGTGGTTCTCAAGATTTGTTGGGTACTCCCCTTAACCATTCAGGAAAATAAGGTACCCCCCTGTGCAAATTAGCTTGGAGGGAAACCAAAAGATTCGGACAGATGTTGTTCTCGATCATACCACCATTTGGAGGGTCCCATATTTTAGCTTAGCTTGATGGGCCGATCAGAAGGGTCTACGTTTCCCAAGCTGGGGCTTTCCGACTTTGCCCATCCTTTTTTCGGACCCTTTTGAGGATACCCTTTTTTTGAGGGTCTTGCGCTTTGGACACATGTTTTGTTCTGAGTCATGAAAGGCTGTTTGACTTTCCGTGATCCACCATTTGAGACAAAACAAGTTTGGGACCATGCTAAGCGGTAGATGTTGAGCGTGGGGGCCTCGCTACAGTGCATTCACTGGAAAAAGTGTTCCTTCTTCCAACAGATGCGGTTTGCCATGGTCGCACCTCTTTGTGTGGGAAGCCGTTGCTTCCTGAAAACTTCCCTTACGATCCTCAGACCTAACAACCAGAAGTAGTTTGACCATGGCCCCACCCAAAGCTTTGGGCTCCGTCCTGTGGTTTGGGTTTGCAGAAAACCAAAAAAAGAACCCGGGAAGGGGAACTCGCAGTCGACCATTCGCGGCCATCCAAATCGGGTAAAAGGGGGAGAGTGCCAATCCTGCGGATATTTGCCGTGCGAATTCTCAGGGCTTGGGGCATTGCCAGGAGTTGAGTCTGACGCCTTTGACCCTTCAGCTTTCCAAGTGGCTTCCTTCCAGATTGTTGGGGCAGTCGCTTCCCAGGGCAAAAAGAGACCAGAGTAAAGTGTTCGGCCAGCGGATCTTTGCATCCTATGGTGATTTTGAGCGCAGTACTGGGAACCTTGGATTCCACTTGGCCCCAGAACTCGTTTCCAAAATGCCCTCTTGGCAGCTGTTTGGCCGTCAGCCAATACGGAAGGGAGCTTTGCGGGAAAAAAAGGATTTCTAGAATAAAGTTTGGAGGCCACACCTCCATTTCGTTTGGCTGTTGCTTCTTGGATTCAAACATGGAAGCGTCCGAGTGCTCTTGGTATGTGTTTGCTTGTCTCTGTTGTTGTGTTTCTTCATGTTTAGCTGGGAGCAACAACAAAGCGTTTTGAAACCGATTCGGGTCAGTCCATCAGAGGCCATGGTTTCAATCAAATAGTGCTGGTTTTCCCAGTCCGTTGTGTGAGTTTTATTTGCTTTATTGTTCCAGAGGTGCCAGAAAATCAGGGACACAAGAACCTTGGTGGCTCTTTGGCTTGACTAGCCTCTGTGTATAAAAGACGCCCAGCTTATGTTCTCCAAACATTCCCTGACATTCTGATCCCTGGCAAGAACTGTTCCGAATCCGTGAAGGTGCCTGAACATTCCATGAGCTTCACAACGCGGAACATGTAAAAGTTGGCATGGAACCCCTAACACTTTCTGAAAGTCGCCGCCCAGATTCCCTGAACACTCCATGTGTTTCCAAGAAGACCTGGACCAACTGAACCTTCGGAAGGAACCTTAGGGCATCAGAAAACGGACAGCCCCCTTTTTTCTTTTTGACTGATAGAGGCTCGATAGAGGGTAGACTGGTAGACTCTGGTAGACTGATCAACGCCCGCGGGTGATTAAGAAAGGAAGATCGTCCAAGGAACAAACACGAAGAACACAATGTTAACCCCATCTTAATCAACCCCAGTTTATTCGCAGGGGGGTGGGGGCCCCTCCAAAAGTAGTCTGATTCCCCTCATTTCACCCAGGGACACCCCCCTATGAAAATGAACTGTGTGCTGATGTTGTTTCTGGGGTCAACATTTCCCCCAAGTTGTGTTTGACAGGGCTCCTTAAAAGATACATGTGCCCATTTGAAACATGGCTTTTTCCACCAAACTAGAAGGAAACCACCATTTACAAGGCAATGTTCCGGTGTATAATGTAAGGATCCCTGTTTGACATTTTCATTTATGATAGCCTTCCCCCACGTAAATACCAAGCAACATTGGCTTCATCCATGGTTTCAAAGTCTAGGTTCCCCAATAGTGCCCTGTTAGCCTTTTGTTTGGGAGGGTTCCCCTACTAAAATAGACTACAGAAAAAAATAATTAAAAAAAAAAAGAAAAAGTACCAACTGATTCTAACCTCTCTACTGGAGGACCTAGAAGTGCTGCGAAACGCCGAGGCAACATCCCCAGCATCCCCCTGGCGCCGCCGGTGCCGGACGACGGACCGGTGAGCACAGACTTCGCAGCGCTCTGGCCCCAACATGCGCGCGGCCGGGGGGATTGGGGGGGGGGGTCTAAAAATGGGCGGCTCGTCTTTTGCGTGCTGTTTTACAGGGGAAACCAAGTGGAAACCATTTTATGAGTGGTCACTCATTTGGGTGTGTCATGTGTTTTTCGGGGGTGTTCCCTTTAAGACCGCAAAAGGGTACATGCGAAAATGGCACACCCGAAAGGCTTCGAGCTTTAAAAAATAGCTAACAATCCTGCTTTCAGGGTAGCATGGATAAAAGCAAGCTGAATTGTCAACACTCAGTAGCCACCATAGAAGCCCTTGGCTGGCATCAAATTCAGTTGGGGTCTTATATCCACCAATCACTTAGATTATTCCACTGTGAAAATTCAAATCGCCAAATAGCCCACGTGACCCGCGTGTTGAGACTTGAAAGCGAAAAAAGGAATCAGAGCCCACCAAGCGGGGAACTGCCGATTTTTGAGAGCCCCTCACTTGGCGAATTGCTAACGCTGACCTTGGAGGAAGGGAGCCCCCCACTTATCACTGTATCAGGCTGTCCATTTTTAGTGGGCATTCCTGTCCTGGAGTGAGCAGCCCCCCCCCGGAATTTTCCATTCGAGGGGGGCGGGCAATTGTTTGATTTTCCAGGCCCCTATTCCATGGTTGTTGTTGGGAAACATTTCTTACATCTTTGCTTATTGTGGTTTAGTGGTTGAATTCCAACCACTTCCCTGCCAACAAATCTGATTTTTGTGCTCTCCCCTTCCAAGGTCAACCAAGATTCAATCCCGGCCAAACTCATCTTAAGATACCAACAGTGTCCTATACAAGGCCCAAAAAACCGGCCCGGCCCATTCTCTGAACAAATTTCGGCCCCTTTTCGGTTCCCTCGATTTCACTGGTCTTGACCAATGCCCATTGAGCCCCTGGGTGATGCTAGGGGAAGGGGGAAGCTTGGAATCCAAAGAAGCCCAGACCTCGGGTGTTCTTTGTGGCTTTTTGTTTGCTCACTTGTCGAAAGCGAATCCTCCTGAAGTGACCTTTTGGTGAGAGAGCAACGTCACATGTTTGGTCATACTCTTATGGTTGCCAAGCAATAGGAGTTTTCCCCAGGAGCTTATGGCAACTGGCTGATCGGGTTCCTTTTTTGGGGGGTCCCCTGTTTGTGGGGAGGCGCTTTGACCATGGGAATTCTTAACAGGTTGGCCGCCCTTCCGAACGGCAACAGGACCCCAAGCCCGCTTCAGTTGCGCCGCCAGGCGACTCCTGGAGATCTCCATTTATGGTTGCATTTTCCCTCTGGGGAAGACTAGAAACATGAGTTGGGGGAGGGGTGTCCACAGCCGCTGCTATGTGTTCAAGTAACAGGTTGCGAATCGTGTCCCTATCGTTTGCAAAGGTAAGGCTCATGGACGCATCCCATGCTGTATTGACCCAACACAGTCGTTTTCATGTTTCAAGGAACCGCAAAGCAGAAAGTTGGATGTTTGGCTGAAATTCCACGTGGCCGCGTTGATGTTTCGCTGAATCTGGCTTTTTGAAGTCCGTACACTCCAAGTTTGGCAAAGCCATGTGGGACAGTTGTGGGACCAAAGCGGGAATTGAACGGCATAGAACTGCAAAGAGGGACGTTGTGGAATTGGAAAACTGGACAAAGAATAGTTTGGTCCAAACCAAAACTTGTCCTCAGAGTTGTGTTTTTTTCTCGGGAACTTGGTTTCAACCGCCAAGGAGTACCGCCTCTTGGACTTCTCAGCACTGCGCCTTGGCGCATCCAGCCCACGCCTTTCTAATTTGCAGTTGGTACCCCTGGTTGTTGTTGTTTTTTTAAGGGAATCCAAAGGGAACGCCACCATTCAGTTTGCTTTATGTTTTATGTGTTTGTTTTGTTTGGGGTGGGGGGGTCCTCAACAAGGACATACCCAAGTTGAACGATGTGCAACAAAGACTTCAAGGCACACTTTTGCTCACACCCAAAGGACCCCAAACGTTCGGCATCAGTTGGGATTGGCGGTTTATCAATAAGTATTCATAGGGATACAAATCCATCCCAATTGGTACGAAGGGGATTTGTCCACCCACGGAAGCTTGCCTTTTTGTGTCTTGGCCTTTTTGGTACTCCATCATGCTGCCTTTCAAACAGCAAGAAACGACCATGCCCGGACATCTTACTGATTCAGGGGCAAGAAGCAACTCAAAAAGCTGACTTGTTGCAGGGTCCAAGTCGGGTCAACTTGGCAGAAGCAAAAGGAGGCCAGGGCATATCCGCATCCTCCCGGCTTTGAGGGTGGCTTTCCCCTGGAAAATCGCGTGCCAAGGGGGTACTCGGGGCCAGCTGAAGGGTCCAAACCCCCCAAGTCTTGGCGTTTCCCAGGGATGCCCTTAGGTTTTTACATAGGTGTTCAGGGTTTAGTGGGGGTTTCCCTTTGTTTTTCACCCGGTAAGAGTTGGTCACTTTTGGCAGGGGATCTGAAAACAGACAGCCCAGTCAGGAACCAACTGTCCAAGGTGTTCAACTGCCGGCTTTCCAGGAATCGCCCCAGGGAAGCACCGAACCAGGAGCCTACCCCGAGCCCGTCTGGCCCAAGAACCAAACTGTTTGTGGCAGTACCTGGAAATTCCTCACTGGCAACAACCAACCACTTTCCGACTTTGATAACCCCTGCAGCCGTGGTAGGTGGGAAAAAGTATTGGCGCCAACCAACCACTTTCCGTGTTTGAGGAAGCTCCTCACTGGCAACAACCAGCCAGTGTCCGGCTTTGATAACCCCAAGAAAAGACCGGCAAAAGTATTGGAGCCAAAGAGTGCCACTTTCTCTTCTTTTGACCCGAAGAAACAGAACTTCCATGAGCCTGACCCAGGCAGGAGCAGCTCATCCAATTCCTGCGGGATGAGGAGCTGCAGTTGGCCCAGCAGCGGAACCTCTCGGGAGGAGACCAAAGGGACGCCCGGACGGCTGGACGACCCCCCCCCAACCATTCCATGGTCCGTTCCGAAGGGACCCCGAAATGTCAGGCTTGCTTCAAATTGCAGGGGCTTTTTGGGAGCTTCCAGGTTTTAGTCTGAGGGCGTGGACGGTGCCTCTAAGCTGAATCGCATGTCCTTAGATACATTCAGATGATTTTCCCCTCTTTGGTCGTCCCACTGTACAGGAAAATGGAACTCAGTAGGGTTTTCCGGGGTTGTAGGAAACATCATGCTACTTTGGGGAATGCACAAGGCAAAGTTTACGCGTGGAAGAGTTAGTTCCGGACTTGGGACGTCCCTTCAAAGTGTCCCTTTTCAGGGTGTGTGTTGCTTCTTTTTGTCGCGGATGAAAAATTGAAAGGGGTTTTCTATTTGGGATTAAATCCTCGGGGAAATCACCGTTGATTTACTTCACATGTAGCAGAGTGTTATACCAAAGACGAAGAATCAAATGCGTGTTTCCCTTCCAGGATTTCTTGGCAGACCTGTAGCTTGCACTATTAACCCTTGGGCGCCGCAGCCACGTCCCCCACGTCCCCCACGTCCCGCACGTCCCGCACGTCCCGCGCGTCCCGTCCCCCACGTCCCGTCCCCACGTCCCGCACGTCCCGCGCGTCCCGCGCGTCCCGTCCCCACGTCCCCCACGTCCCTCACGTCCCGCGCGTCCCGCACGTCCCGTCCTCCACGTCCCGCACGTCCTGCGCGTCCCGCTCGTCCCGTCCCCCACGTCCCGCGCGTCCCTGACGTCCCGCACGTCCCGCACGTCCCGCGCGCCTCTCACGCCCCGCGCGTTCCGCGGATCATGTCCTCCACGTCCCCTACGTCCTGCACGTCCCGCACGTCCTGCACGTTCAGCACCCACCTCGCACACATCCAACACTGACGCGCTTGCTTCTCTTTCTCATATATCCCTTCTTTTGCACGCGTCCTGGGATACGCACTTGAATGCGCTGCATGTTTCACCACGCAGTCTTTGTGTCATGTTCTGTTTGCGTGTCCGTATGCTTACAGTGATTGCGCATCTTGCATACTGCGCCGTGATGCTTCTCATGGCATTGGACTGGCATGTGAACTTAAACAAAGATGTTATATATGAATTTAATCCCCCACCGTAGCTTGCCTCTGGATTCCTTTCTTTGGAGGGTTTCTTTTTCGAATCAAGTGCACCACGAGTGCCGAATCGTTCACTGGATAATTTGGCTGGTGCGGTGTTCCTGGGAACATGGGAAGGAATTTGCCTAAGAACTCACTTGCCTTTGGTTGGCATACTGTGGATGGACGAAATCCGCTTCGCACCACTTTGAAACCACAGGAAACCATTGTTGCTTGGTATTTACAGCGGGATCATCAGACACCAGGGTTTCTGAACGGTGGTGCCAAAGAGGATTTCGCAACCACCCACAGTAGTCCGGCGAACGGATTGGATGCGCTTTCTGTGGTTTCCCCATGTTGTTTGGCTAGTTGTTCCTCTTTTAATACTCTTTTAGTACTCTTTTGCTATCCTACAAGGGTGGCATCCACAAAAACCGCATCCAAACTGTTTCCTAGAAGGTCCAGGTCCAGGACAGCCCTTCCTTCGGGTCGCCGGCAGGATCCCCGGAGCAAGCGGAGAAGGCGCAGATGGCTGTGCTGCGCGCCTCTGCACGCCTGGACGACAACCCAGACGCCCAGCGACGTGGCGGGATTTTTGTGTTTTGCTTTTTTTGGCTGGGGCCATTTGGCTGTGGCTCAAAAAACCGGTGCCAAAATGGAGCCATGGTAAGTGGAAACATGCACCAAACCTGCGGTCTGCCCCTCCTGTTTCATTTTGAGCCACACCCATTTGTTTGGCGGTTTCTGGGGCTTATCCAAGTCGGGTTGTGTCCCTTTAAGCCACCACTTGGGGGGTGACTTTGATCATGGTTAAATCATCAGGCCAGTGGATCCCAGCTGGAAAGCCATACGGGCGTGGGGGGGGGACCTTATCATGGTTGTAGTTGGGAAGCATGTTACATTTTTGCTTATTGTGATTTAGTGGGAAATCTCCACTTAACTGTCTTAACTGCTAAAATTTAATTTTTTGCTCCCCTTCCAACATCAACCAAGTTATGGGTGGGTAGTTGAAAGCCTTAGGTTTCAGTACAAATCCTTACGAAGCCTTAGTTCGCCCCGATGGACCACCCTGAATTCGGGACTCCATTATTACGTTAGGCATTGCTTTGCTTTTCTACCATGTCCTTGCAGACCCCCTTGCTAGCTCTGAAAGGCTCCCTGTATAGTAGCAAAGTTGAATACCCCCAGCTCCTTGGCCCTTCCAACCAACAGCTAGTTTTGGTTCTGAAAGGGTGGTTCCCTGGGTTACCTACTATACTGGTAAAAGGGTCCACTGTGCGGGGGGTGCAGCAGTGCGCAGGGTTTTGGTTGACACCAAGTGGAGCAACGTGACCCCGGGCATGGTAAGATCCGGAATCCGACCCCTCACCCCGGGTTGAGTTCAAAAACCACGGCCCCGATTTTGGAAGCTCCCCCTTAAGCGAACGAAAATCCTGCACCACCTAAGGGGCCGAATGAATCGATCCCCCTGATACCAAGCAACAGTAGCTTCAACCACGCGAAAAGCGGATTTCGCAACCATTCACAGTATGTGATTAAACACCTCCGGGTTTCAGACGAGCCAATACTTCGGAGCCAGTGCGACTCTCAAAGCTTCAATCCACGTGAATCATCTTTATCCAACGTGACTCAAAACTCTCACTTCCGCAAAACCTGACCATTTTCAGAAAAGCTTCACCTTGTCTTTGGGGGCTCCTTGAAAGGTGGCAGCACAATTTGTTCTACGCGGGACGTGAAGTGAGAAGTGGGTGGCTCATTAGCATTTGGACCCCCAACCTCTATTTCGGTTTTCCTGGTCTTCAAAAGCCAAAAAAGGCCCAGCCGAGCCCCTTTTCATGGACCCCGGCCGCCACCATTTTTGTCCGTGCCCGACCTGCCGACCGCTGCGCCGACCGTCGAGCCGAGCGTCTCGCTGCCGACTCCGAGGTGGGATTGGATTATCAGCTCCGCCAACTCGGAGACGGCGTTGACGGTCATGGCCCCAAGGTCCTTCACCTACCTCCGGCGCTTGGCCGGCTTGGATTCCCAGGCGCCCTGGTCTTCAAATGGTTCTCGGATCAGGGTGTTTTGGGGATGTTTGGGTTTCTTTTTTTTAGGTGGTTAAGTGTATTTTTTGTCAATGGTTGTTTGTGTTTGTCTTGTTTTTGTTCAGTTGTGGTGTTTGTCTTGTTGGTGGTTTGCTGTCTTTTTAGGTTTGTTCGAAATGATCAAACCTACAATAGGCGATCGACCTTTGGTCAAGGGGGGGCTTCGGAGAAGTAATTCACTGTTTTTGGCAGGTGTTTACGGTCTTAGGTTTTTGGTGGGGCCACTGATGTCGGATCATGGTTTAAGTGTTTGTTGTCTCTTCTTTTTTTTCCCGGGGGGACGGGGGGTTCTGTTCATGTTCAGTGGGGGGCTGCAGCAGGCAAATGGTTGTAGAGTTGCCCTAAGTAAGTTGACCGGATCTGATCTGACTAAGAGTTTTCCTGCGTTGGTCCACTTTCAAGGTTCCTATAGGCGATCGCCTTTTTCGTGTGAGAAAATTTGGACCTTTTTAACATTTTGGCGTTGCTTGCCCCATTTTTGTGAAGCTTGTAATTCTGAGTCCTTTGGGCAACCGAGGTGCTGCTGTCTGAGCCTTCGGCAGAAAAGAATACGCGTGCAGTTCCCTCCTAAGGGCGAGGGGGGTGGGGGTGTCTTAAGTTCATTTATCCAGCTTTCCTCATAAAAGGGAAAATGGAACGATCTAGTCGTTAGGGCACCCTTAAAAAAGAAAAAACGCCAACTGTGAGTCTTGATAAGGAACCACCTCACATGAATCCCCGTGAAAGTCCACTATGGAAACTCAGAACCAAGTGTTTCAACATGTGACAAACACTTGGCATAAAACTCCTGGTGAGAGTCAACTCAGCTATTCCCGTGCGGATGAACGAAATCCATTTTGCACCCTGACAAACCCTGAAATGATTCGATTCCCCTGTAAATACAAGACAGCAATGGTTTCAAGCATGGATTCCATTCGTGGCAAATGGATTGGGTGCATCCACCCACAGCAAGGTCCGTTGGTCGTTTGCTCAAGCTGGAGATTGCGGCAACGCAAACCAGAATAGATATTGTTCTATGGCTGGATGGGAAGCCTACACTTGAGTCTCGTATTGGCGCAAACCCCGATGCTTGAAAACTGGCTAAATCTCTTGGCTTCGAATGCGGTTCATGTTTTCGACATGCTCACCTGAAGGGGGTGAGGGCTAGAATTGAGCTTAGGGTACCACTGGTAATGCGCGTTCCCATGCCCCCTTGCCACCTTGTGCAAGGCTTGAGACTGGAGAAGTGGAATCGGGGGCATATGTCTTACCAGGCTCCTGATGTTGAAAACGAGTGCGGGGGTTGGGGGAGGGGGTTGGAAGTCTATGACTACCACTGGGCATTTGTTTTTGAGATTGTGTCAAATTTGGGCGGTTCATGAAATATGTGCCAGAATCATATGTTTGTTTGTGGTTGTGGGACCAAACTGAGGTAGCTCTTGGGTTCCCAAGCAATGCAAGCCTCCATGGTGTCCTACAAGCTCCATGGTGTTATATGGAACCCGACACAACGAGGTTCTTCAACTTGCAACAGCCATCAAAGTCACTTGTGCGGATTTCCCTTGAAAACACTGCAGTATGTGTTTAATTGTGTTGAAGCGGTCTTACTCAAAGGTACCCAGTAGTAGGTTACGACCATGCCTGTAACTGGCGTACCTGCGGTTCGTCCCGGCCCATGGTTTCCAACTGGCTCCATTTTTTGGACAGCTTGCGGGGAAGTCAGAAGTTGAGAAATGCCCTTTGCCTCTACCGCTGAAGCACGACTCGATCTCGGTTCGCTCGGGCGTTTTGCCGCTCGACTCGATCTCACATGGCTGGTCTTTGGTGTGACCCCAAAGGCACCTTAGACATCTTCTCACTTCCTGGGTTCTGTGGCCTTCATACTTGTTGAGAAGACCATGTCAGTGGTGCACAAAGCATTTCGTTACTTTTGTTACGCCATCCACGTGATTGAAAGTGAGACGACCTGTTGGAAACCAACGGTGCCATAGAATTCCCTCTGGTCTAAGGACCTTTGAACTTCACTTGCTGGTGCGACAGTCAGGCAATGACAACTAGTCCGGGAGTTCGGAATGAACCATTTTGTGATTCCGGAAAGGACCAGTTGGATGATATTTTCCTCTGGGTCATTCCATTCTCTCATCCCCTGCATATTCCCTTAAAGAAAACCACAGGGGATGGTGTTTCTCGGGGTCATGAGCCAAGTCTCATTCCCTGCATCTCTCGAAGCAAGAAAAGACTGACTACCTTCCCACCAATTCACACATAGAACCTTCCGTTTCGCCGTTTCGGTGGACCCATTTGGCTTAGACAAAATGCTCCTTTGAGACAAAAGACCAAACCCTCCCACCCTTTTCACGTGGAACCTTCCGTGTTTGGGTGGTTCCTTTTGGTTTCGACAAGAAAAGATCCCTTTTGAGTGGACCACGCCTTTGGGAGCGGCAAGCGGCTTCCATCTCAGTGGCGCTGTACTGCTATTGGCTTGGATCTTTACACTTGAACTCTTTGGATTCTGCTCCTATTTCGGTTTTCAACCAGCAAAAAGTGAAAAACTTGCTGGGGGATCTACAGCACCCACTTGCCCAAAGCGAATCGTTTGACGTGCCTTTTGGTCCCAAGAGGTGATCTTTTGTTTCCTGGTCCCAAAGGGGATCCCAAAGTAGGTAGGTGATTCCATTTGAGTGAATTCACCACCCAATTTCTTAATCCAGTGCTTTGATTGACAACTCAGGAGCTGCTCCACACCAACGTCAGCGACTTGCGGGTGGCCGCGAAGAGCGGCTCCTCGCTGCTCTGCGCCTCGGCGGGCCCGCTGGAGTCAATCGCGGCATCCGGTGGTGTCGCTCGCGGGTTCCCAACGGGTTTCTCGAAAAAACCGGAGCCAAAAGGGGGGGGACACCGAAAAAGCCACACACACACACACCATGGATTGTTTTACCAGCCTTGGGGCTTGAAATCCGGGTGGAACATCTGCTCAATGATGGGTATACGTTTGGTGTTTTGACCCCAAGAGGCGCAATTGAGCCAAGTCAAAGGGCCCCAAAGACCCAACCTAAGGTGCCTCAAGCAAAATGTTTGTTCTCTGGGGGTCCTGTTTGACTCTTGTCCCAAGGCCTGCTGGCCCAATGGCTTGGATGTTCGTTGCCAAGCAAGTGGTGGGTCGCCTGTGTTGCAACCGACTACACAATAACATGGATAACTCCACTTGGATCAGGCCACCGAACGGTTGCCAACTGACTGACTTGGCCGAACACCCACAATCCTTCTCCCTGGCGGTTCAATCCCACAGATTGGAACATCGAAACGAGTCCCGCCATTCCCGCTTTGAACAAGAGGTTCCGAAAGGATAACCCTTCATGGGTGTCTCTCCAAATCGCCTTTCTGGCTGGGGTTTACAAGGAAACGGTTTCAAAGGGACACCCAACAGAAACCACCTACCTGGGGGCCTCCAATTTTGAGCAACTCCATAGGTGCAATTCCTACCTTCAGGGACTTCTTCAAAAAAAAAACGCCCCGCAGCACTGAGGCTCCCAGGACAACCGGACCTTCGTGCTGAAGACCGTGTCCCGGAGCGAGGCATCCAGGAACCATGGGCACGGGTTTTACGGAAACAAGAAGAAGCGAAGCCGCTGGTGGCTTGCGGGCTCCCCAACTTGGAAATCTAGGTCTCCCCAGCTAGGCGCCCTTTCTCACCGTTTCTTTTTGGGGGGAGGGTTCGGGACCCTAAAATAGACTCCAGAGAAAAAGGGCACCCTTATTCTAACCTCTCTACTGGAGGACCTATGAAGCCCGAAGCCCGGGTCCGCTGGAGGTGGTTTAGAAAACCTGGGGGGCGGAATGCTCCAACCAAGTAGTTATATGTCCCTTGCTGATTTGTTTTAAGCCCCCCAAACTCCAGGCATGCACCCGGGTATGATTCTCGTAGCCTTAGCTTGTATAAAGCCAATGGGCTGATTCCCTTTACAAACCTTGGGCTCAACCGGGCACACACGACCAAATCCCCCGTCCCGCTCCTTTTGACCGACGGTGTTGGACTTAGGAGTCTTTGCTGAGAGTCGGTGAGAGTTAGTTCTTCGGTTTCAAAGGGAACTGCTCACTTCGAACCTACTCGAGTAGCGTTATAACCTACAAGTGCTAAACCGCACGGTTCCCTGTTCCTTGAGCCACACAAATCGGGAAGCGCGACTTCCAAAGTGGTGGATGGAATTCTGGGGTCCCCTGGGACCTCGCCAGGTCCGGCAGGTGCGACAGATGCTGCCGGAGTGGCGGAAACATTTGGAGGAGAGAAAGGGAGGTAGGGCGCGTCGAGAAAAAAATGGACCCCCAGAAATCCGGAGACGATGGTTTTCCGTTTGGCGTCCTTCCCCAAAAAATAAAAGTGAGTGGGTTGTCCTTTTGGTCTTCCTTTGAATCAAACTGCTGTCACGGTACCCTTAAAAAACCACACACACACACACCAGTCCTTTTGGCTGCGTTCTGCACTAACGACACCTGGTGGCATGAGCTGACCACTTGGAATTATGTTTATATTTGTTTTGCGGCTCTCTGTGAGACATAATCCTATCCCAAGCAAACCCACGGGTTTTGTGGCCTGGTGTGGTGTGGTGGGCGGTCAGACTACAGATTAGGCCATTCCCCCCTTTATATGAAGAAGGCAGGGGCATGGTTGTTGTTGGGAAACATTTTACATTTTTGCTTATTGTGATTTAGTGGGAATTCCCCACTTACCTGCTAAAGTTTAAATTTTTGCTGCCGACCAAAAAAAAGAAAGAATCAGGAGAACCCGAAGAGCCTGCTGTGCCGGATCTACGGTTGTTTCAGCTTCAGGCGGGAAAGAGAGAGGGTTACGGTGGATCCGGGAGATGGAGCAAACACCAAATCCCTACCCCCCCCCCAGTTCGGAGGTGTTTTGTTTTGAGGGTGAAACCAAAAGTTGAAAGCGCCCATGCGTCTTGGGGGGGTGCTTTCAAGGGAAGGCAGGAGGGAACAACCCATGATGCCCGAAGGAGCATGCAACAAAAGGTTAATTAGGGAGATGGACGGGAAAGAAGGAAGCAAAGACTGGTATTCTTCAGTGCCACCGCAAGCACCATGGATTTGGGTAGGTATTTGGCGCAGCATCTGGCTAGTCAACCATTCACAACGGTGTGTCGTTTTTGGAGCTGGTACCCCTTGTTTTGGGTGGTTTCAAAGGCAAGCCGAAAAGAGCACCGAGAGGATCCAACCCACAAAAAGACGCGCCACCCAGAAAGGCTTTATCCATGCCAATCGGCTTGGGTTTTTACACTCCCACAGGTGGGTTCCTTCCCGGATCTTTTGTTTCTCTTCCTAGCAAGGTTCCAGTGGGAAGGCTGAAATACCTACATAGTCGATCCCAATTTTCTCCGTTTGTTTTTTCTATGGGGCGGCAAGCCCTTGGTTACCTACTAAGTTACTATACAAGTAAATGGATCCACTGGGCTATGTTTGTTGTTTCGCACTCTTCGTGAGTCGAGCATTTGTAGGGACGCCCAATTACCACCGGTGCTGTCATCCAGCGTCCCTTCTCACACGAGATACGGGAAGGACTGGGCGCCACGCCCCTCCACTTTATGCTTGGGAGTTCTTTTGAGATGATTTGCGATTGAAGACTCACTTTGCTTGGGAGTTCTTTTGAGATCATTTGCGATGGTATTGACAGGGGTTTCTGAACGGTGCCACGGGAATCCCTCCTGTTTCAAATTGTGGGAACTTGGGGAACCCCACTGAATGTTTTGGGTTCATCGAGGAATGCCCCCAACTCAAGCTGAACACAACAGCTGGCCTTGGTCATTTCTTCTCTTGTGTCCGTGTTTTCCCGGACAGCGGCTTGAAATGGATCTCAAATGGTATCACCGTACATGACTTTAGGTTATTTAAATTTGGCGACCCTTTCTTGCACTATGAGCAGTTCCCTTGCTCAAATGCCGAAGTAGTGACTAGTGGTATGTCGATGGTCCACTTTCTATCACAACACTAGACCCATTCTCAACAGCCATGCATTTGTAGGTTGACAGGGTTCGAAACAACCCAAGCGTCCAGCGGCTGGATATCGATCCCTTCTGGACAACGTCGAAGAAGTCGTTTAACTTTATATGACCCTTTACCCTCGCTTGCAAACTCTTGTTTTACATGGTCTAGACGGGGCCATGTTTTACCGGGGGGGGTATTCCCCTCGGATAGTGACGAATCCCCACTAAACCAGGGACACAAGCATATTGACAAGTACTGGTTTATTAATCCGGGGTTGCCATTATTGATGTACTAGTGTGTGTGTGTGTGTGTGGTCATAGCAGGTGGCATTATAACCATCGCGGACCATGTAGGGTGGGTCATATTCTTTTCCCGGGGCACTCTGAAGGCTGCAAAGCGCGGTACATGATTTGCTCGGCACAGGTGGCCTCACACGGGAAGGTAACTTGCTGGGAATGACAAATGGAATGACCCTCCCTCCAGTTTCATTCCCTCATTCGCAAGTCACGGTATGTTGGGGCTTTATACGTTCTGTTGATTTCCACTGCCTGCAAAAAGTTGCGCCTGCCGCCTTCAGTCCCAATCAAAGGGTTCAAGGTGACATTCGGTCGGTGCATCTAAAGTCATGGACCCCTGGTGGGGGGCTATCCCTGGATAAGCCTAGGACAAGCCAAGGTAAGCCCTTCATAAGGCCTTCTCGAAGGGTGAATAAGGGATAGCCCCCCCTCCCCATAGCTCCTTTTAGAGGTCTGCGATAAAGCGGCGACGTCGGATTCATTTCGGGAGGAACTCCTTGGGCTACTACCTCTACGCCGTGCTCATGGACTGCCTCACAGGCGCCTTCGCTTTGAGCCCGCAATGAATCAAATCCAAAAGAACCGAAAAGCTCACTTCCCGAGTTGGACTTTAAACTTTTTGGGTTATGTCAAATCAAAAGTTTAGACGTTTCTTGGGACAAAGTGAGTTAATCCCGACTAGTGTAGGTTTTGGGGGATCTCGCCCGATCGGAGCTGCGCTAATTTCAACTAGTGTTACGGCCTTGAGGCGATTTGAGGGCGTCGGCTCCATGTTTGGAGCCAGTGTTTTTTCTTTTTCTCGAGTCCAGGGTTGTCCCTTTGAGGTTATATGAGCGACTGCCCCTTACAGAAGACTACAGAGAAGTTTCCAAGCGGATTTGTTTTTTGAGCAACATCCTGGGTTAGGCCCACAAGGAACACTCCGAAAACGAGGTAGGGGAATGCATATTTGAGATCACAAACACGTGTGGCGTCGGAGAACAAGATCAATGAGCCAAACGGCTGCAGGGTTAAGGAGAATGAGGTAGCAAAAACACTTCCTGTCTAGGAAGCACTCCTCTTGGCAAGCCAGCATTTCCTCACAGAAATAGAGGGCGCGGGTCACGAGACCTGGAAGGGGCCAAGAGGCGCCCATGCTGGATGTGTCATCAGTCCAAAGACACCACAGTGAGCAGATGGGATCTGAAGGTAGGGCCATGGCTGCAAGGATCGGCCGGAGCTTTCGAATCAGGACATAGTCTCTCGCCAGTCTGCCCTCGGATTCAATCCCCCCTACACCTCGTCGGTGAGCACAATGGGGTTGGGCCCCCAAAAAAATGGCCAACGGGGGTGCTTTGGGGGGTTCCCTAGACTCCTTTGAAAGGGTTAAGAATCTCCTTGTCATAGGTGTCCTTTTTGGTTGTGGTAGAAAATAGATGGCCCTGGGTGGTGTTCATAATCTACCAGGGCCATCTATCCCAAAAGAACACTCATGCTCCTTACTCTAGGTGCACGAAATCCTGCACTAGTTGGGAGGTTTATCTATAGGGTTTCATCTACTCACAATAACTACTGTGGGTGGACGAAATCCATTTCGCACCACTTTGAATCCATGGTTGAAACCATGGTTTGTTTTTACGTAGGTGAATCATCAGAATTCAGGGTTTCTTGCGTAATGCCGGAGAGGATTTCGCAACATCCACAGCTCTAGGGGTTGCTTCCAATTCCATCCTTTTCAGCCATCGTTCGGATCCGTTTCCGCGGGGCTTTCGGTGGTTGTGTAGAGAGCCGGATCCCTGGAAAGAATGGAAATGGAAGTTCCCCCTAGAGCAGTACCCGTTCTAGGTCCGTCCCCGGGACGAGTGTTTTGACAAGGCCTGCCAGACTGCGTGACCGAAGACTTGGGCCCGGCCCGCGTCTTCGACATCAAATCTGAGTGCCTCAGAGACCCCAAGACGGGGGCGGACTCACTCGGAGCTGGACACTCCCCCGTTGAGTGGTTCCATTTGCCTGGTTTTGTACGTAACCAAGGGCTTGCCACCCTTGAAAAACCAAAACTATTTGGTTAAAACGGTATCCAAGTCTGCTTCTAAACAGGGGAGCCTTTCGGAGCTACCGATCGGAGTTCTGGTTAGGAACATGGCTACAGCTGACCAGCCCTGGTCGTGAGCTTTCATACAAAGGAAAAGCCCCTGCCATCTCCGACCAGCAGATTTTCCACATGGAATCCCAAAAGCAGATCTGGTTGAGAGCCTTTCGGGAAAAGAGGCCCCTTGGGTTCCGCATTGCTTTTTTTTTTCTGGGTAGAGCACTCTTCGGAGTGTCCAAGTTCAAAAGCTTGGAGAAGTCGGAAGAATCAGGTGGGGTTTCTGGGAATCGAATCTATTCCAAAACATGAAAGCCACTTGGTTGATTTTTGCTCTTCAGCTGCACAGCTGCGCAGCTGTGGAGCTATGGGCTTCCATGGCTGAGGGAGGCCCTGCGGCGCTTATTTTGGGCTTGTCCCTTGGTTTGGCTCTTTGGATTCTTGGCCGGAGCCAGGACTTTCATGTTGTTTTTTTTGGAGCTGCGTGTACAGGTGCCCAAGTTTGATTTATTTGAGATTATGAAGAATGAGACAGGGCGCGGTTCCGTTTCCCAGCTTGGGGACCAATCCGGATGAATCCGGATCAGACAATGGAATGAGCCTAGCTCCGATTACGTTGCTTGGGCCCAAATCTCGAGCCATTGAGGGCCATCGCCTCTTGTGATTTGCATACCCGTGGTCCTTGTAAAGTGATTGGATGGGATACAACCATTTTCCACATGAATACCCCAGCGAATCCATTTACTTGTATAGGTAACCAAGGGCTTGCCACCCTTGAAAAAACAAAAGGAAAATAGCTTGATACCGACTATATGGGTAACTGTACCAAAGGAGGGCAAGACACCGTTCTACTGGCGCATTCGGAGACGGCCAAGGTTTGGAGTTATTAGTGACCTATGCCGCCAATACCATGTCGGTTGAGTTGGCAACCTCTCGGGTTGCCTTGTTTTTGACCGCTCCCTGTTATCATCGTATCAACAAATCCAAGTCTTGAGGCTCAGGCATTGTGGATCAAAAATCCTTCGGGCAACTCAGCCCCAATTGAAACCCACCGATGTGGGCTCACTGCCTGAGTTCTTGGATCGTCACTTTTTGGAGATGCGGGCCAAGTTAGTGGGAAATCTAAAGTTCAGACTTAGTGTCACTTCTTGGAAGTTCGGATCATTTTTCTGGGTACAAATGATGGACTTCAAAAGAAGGGACAAAAAGTTACAATTCTTGGTGTCTTCTACTGGTTTCCCAGACGTGCGTCATGTTTATGAGTTCAAAAGAAGGAACAAAAAGTGTCATTCCTGGTGACTTCTGTTGGTTTCCCGTGCGTCTGGGGCGTTTTTTGATTTTTGTTTCGCGCCCCCCAAGCTCCATCCGTCCGCAGGTTCCAGGACGGCGGGTTCCGGCGCTGCTTCCCGCGGGGCTTGCGGCTGGAGCCCCCCGTGGCGACGGACCTCGAGTTCCTGTCCTCGCCCCGCGGCCGCGGAGGTTTTGGTGGGGAGAAAGTGGTTCGTTGGGGCGGAAAAATGGGGGGGGGGGGGGGTGAGATCCTTGGATGTTCTGTTTCTTTTCTTTTCCTGTTTTTTTTGAGGGGGGGTCCGATCCTCGGTTCTTTTTTGGGGGGGAGCAATCGTTTTGGTTTCTTTTGGGGGGGGGGCCTCCCAAAATGGTCTCACATCCTGAGTTCCGTTTCGCACTTTGAACTGTTTTGGAAGACCATTTGAGTGGTAGATGAAAGGTATGGACTTGTTTCGGCCAATCCACTCGGGAAGTGAGTGGTCTGTTGGCTTCCCTTTGAAGCCACCAAGAACGGGTACCCCAAAAAAGAAACACGCCCAAATAGGTGTGCTTCCTTTTTGGAAGGTACTCGAAAGGGAAAGCCGCATGGGGTGTTCTATTCTGAGACCTTTCTGACTCCAAGATGAACATGTTCCCTTTGAGTGGGGCCTGGTGGTTTGGAGATGGGATGCCCAGGTCAAATCCAAGCCAGCAATCCAATGGAGGCCAAAAAGGCCCCTTGAAGAAGTGAATTTGCGCCAAGAAAATAGTCACCATTGAAACTAGTGTAAGACTATGTTGGAATATCCTGAAGTGAACATGTTCAGGGTTTCCACAGATTGCCTTTGGGGGTGGTTGTCCTATATGCATGCCACCATTTAGAATATTTAGAGTCAAATTGAGCATGTCCTTTGGCCCCAGATCCACCTTGCGCTTCAGCCGTCCATGTGAGTGTGGAGGCAGAGTCCATCAGAACCTCGACTGGCGTATCTGCCAAGTGTTAAGAAGCTCTGCACGTCAAGGTGCTGTTTTCAGAGTCACAGTTGCGCCGTGTTGCGCGTGACGAGGTCGAACACGGTTGTCCGGATGTGGCTGCTCACGTCCAACAGTTTCCCTCACCTCTTTGGTTGCCTTCATTTTTGGATGGCCCACGGCTCGGGGAAGAAAAAAACACAGCTTGCTTAGGAAGGCCCGCGGCTCGAGAAGAAACATCCCCAGGCAGAGATGTAGCCCTGGAAATCTCATGGATGGATGCGAGTTTGCCGGGTGTTGATTTTTCTGGTCCATGGCCCTGGACATGTCATGAATGGTACTAAGGATCATGGCATTTTTTTGCGGGGTTTGGGTTGTTTCGCGGACCTTGTCCATGGCAGGGTTCGGAGACGACGGGTTTGAAATCCTTGGGCTCTTTGACCGGGGTTTTGGTGCTCCCGTGACGGACTGGACCGGAGTTTGGTTGGTTCGCCCGGGTGAGCGGACTGCACTGCTAGAGGATATGTTGCCGGTTTTTTGGGATGGACAAAATCCGCTTCTCAGCAGTTGGTGGTTTATGCCAGTATCATCGGCTTTCATCTCAGGTGGTTCAGGGTTTGTCCATCCGCAACATCGGATGTTCATGTGGGTGTGCTTCTTTGAGCTACCCCAGTTGTTCTTGCTTGGTTATTTCTTGGGAAGTTGAAAGCCGAGATCCATCTTGGGGGGTAAAATTCCGGGACAAAATGTCCGATTCCGTGCTTCACGCCGAGGCTTGGGGTGATCGACTACTCGCTGCTGCTGTCGGTCTGGGAAATCAGTTCTGACTGTGGGGGATCCCGGCTCAACGTCAGAGGGTGGCTTGCGAGTGTTTCACCCCTTCGGCTTTGGAGATCTTGTCGTTGGCCGCCCTTTTGAAGCTCCACTTTGCCTGTTTATGGGAGGTGGTTGCGAAATCCTGCAACACCTAAGAAACCCTGGTTTCTGATGATTCCCCTGTGAAACGAACAATGATTGCTAGTTTGAAAGCGATGCGAAATGGATTTTGTCCACCCACAGTAGGTTGGGGTCAAAAGAACGCCTCCGGTCGAGTTGCGCGGTTTGTTCCACTTTCGGCCACGCCTTGTACTTCTGCGGCTTTCAGAATTTAGTGTGGCTCCCCGAAAAGCACCGACTGCCTGGATCGCCAGTTGCGATCGCTTTTTTGCCATGCACTTTAGCTCAAAAAATTAGCAACAGGGACTGGAAAAAGCAGCAACTTGGCAATCTAGGTGGCTTGGAGTTGGGGAGCATACTGACTAGCAGTGAAGCTTTGGAAGTGCAAGACAGTGACATGCAGATGGTTAGAGCCTACCCCTAATCATTGAATTCCTTAATTACTTGGAATGTGTTTGCATTAGCTGGTTGCGTTCGGTTCCTTAGTGGTTGTATGAAGGTTCTCAACTAGGAGTCAGTTAGTACAACCTTTGAGAGTTTCTATATTACACCCAGGGATAGCACTGAAAGTTTACTCAGTCTAGATGACAATTCCTCTCGGTGCAGCACAGTCAATGATACTGTGGGTGGACAAAATCCTGCACCACCTAAGAAACCCTGGAATGATCCCAACCCACAATGGTCTCGCATGAAAGTGGTGTTCGCATCATCCACAGTTGGATGGAGTGCTTATCAGGTCTCAAGGCTGAGAGCATTCCATGGCAATGGGAACCGTCCCACCGATTTGGCTGCAACCGAAGGTGTCCGCAAGGAGTGAAACATGTCCTGAGCAAACCCGAGCAAGCGTGGTAGGTCATGCGTCGAGGCTGGGTGTTAGTGCGAAAGGAGCCAGATGGAACCCAATTCAATCAGGGGCTTTCTTCCATGTCCGTTTTCGCCCCCTGGAAAAAATGAGAAAATATGTCCAGTAGAAAAGTCGATTCTCCGACAATACAATAAACAACATTTCAGCAAATGAAGCATTGAAGACAGGGTACCCCTCGCAATCTATGTGGCCGAGGCCCAATTGCGCGGTAGCCTGACCATGCTATGAAAGGTGTTGTGTTGTGTTTTGTTGTTTTTTGTTTTTTTTGTTTTTTGTTGGTTTTTGTGTTTTTTTTGTTTTTTTTTTTGTTTTTTTTTTTCTGGGGTTCTCGGCTGCAACCTATCCTCTTGGAGCGTCCATTGGGGAGGGGAGTGGGGGGAGAGCCGTCCTCGGCCTCTTGGCATCCCTCGAGGCCCGGAGCTGGCGCAGGGCGGCCTCTCCTCCGGCCGGATCATCCAAGGCGAAGACAGGACGCGGTCTCGGCGTCCGGCCGATCCGGATCCACGCGGGGTGTTGAAGGGCGCCCTTTAAAGGAAAGCCAGGTGGAGAATGCTGGGTGGCTTCTGGGAAACAGTGGGGATGTGGATATTGAATAGCGCATCCAAAGCCCCCAAACAAGTTTGTGGTGTCCCTTTTGGTGTCCAATTAAGACCGGTCTTTGTTTCAAAGCACCCCCCAAAAAAACATCCGTGGCGTTCCTGTCGGTTGCCCTAAAAGGAGAGGCAACGCAAAGATGGGCCCAGTTCGGCAAAAAGCCTGTTGAAAGAATGCCCTTGCCACCCCCCCCCCCTTCCCGGAAACCGCTGGATCTGGCCACTCCGAAGCAACCCAACCCAATCCAAGCCAATTCGAGGGAAGCTGATGCGAACTGCCGAAACAAATATCTCGTTGCTCTTTCTCTCGCTTGACCAAGGTGAAGGACCCGAAGAGTCCCCAATTTGCTGAAGGCATCATTTTGGGCTGCAAAGAGCCCACCTTTGTGGTGGATCACCTAATCTACACTCTAGAACACGCGGCCGAAAACTCCGGGTGTCCTCTCCCAGTGCCCTTTTTCCGTTTCTTTTTTGGGTTCCCCTACTAAAATAGTCTACAGTGACTACAGAAGCAAGAAGTGGGTACCCTTGTTCCAGCCTCTCAAATCTGGAGGACCTAGTCCCCAGTTCCCACGTCCGTCCTACACTCAACGGGCGGGCGCGAGCCGGTAGGAAGTACCTGGTCCGCCTGGGCATCATCGACTTCTTGGTGCACTGGGACGTGCGGAAGCGCACGGAGAGCGCTCTGAAGCGAACCTGCCGCTACGACGAGAAATCGGTCGCCGGGAAGTCTCACCGGTAGTGCCGGCCGTTTGAAAAGAGTGTCATCCACTTGCTGAAATGAATATGTGTTATGTTCCCCTGTTGATTTTAGAGGGAATCTATCACTACTGAAATATGTTTATTTTTTCCAGGGGGCCCTAAACGCAAATGGAAGGTTCGGTTGCGCTAGAAGGCGCAAGACATCCAATGTCAGTTTGTGAGTTTCTGCAGGGTTCTCTTAGCTAAGGTGCTGCCCATGTTCTTTGCTTTGGTTTTCCTAAGGAATGACGTTGATCGTGTTTCCGTCGTTTCCGTTGCTCATTTTGCCGGAACCTTCAGATGCCTTCCCTTTTCGTTGCTACCGGGATGTTCTGAAGCCGCCCGTTTGGTTTGGGAGTTGGGCAATGTTGGGCAATGTTCCTAGGTCCCCAGCTGAGTGCCCCTGTCTCTCCCGTTTCTGTTTTGGTGAGGCTTCGAGACCCAACTAAAATAGGCAGAGAAAAGGAACGGTCGCCTTATTCTAACCTCTGTACTGGAACTAGGAGACCCATTCATAAGGATCCCACCTGTTGAGACTCCAAACTTCCAAAGCTTGCCATGGTTCTTGGGTTTTGCATTTTACTTCTGTTTTGCTGATTTAGTGGTTTAGTAGTTGAAATCCAAATCCACTTCACTGCTAAAATCCAAATGTGCACTTCACTGCTAAAATTAGAGAATGTTGGCTCCCCTAACCCAACAACCGTGTCAGATGTTTAGAACTGAAGGCTCAATCCGGGAGTCCTACGACCGCAGGGTTGCCCCGTATCTGAATAATCAAACCCCCTTTGGGTAGGAAATGTGAGGGTCCCTTTGTTGTCCCAGTGCTAACCTTCTACTGTAGCAGGTTTGGAGCAACCTTGTACCTGTTTTGGTAGAGTTTCTAACATGGCCTATCCAAACTGTTGTAAATATGGGCCACCTGCAGGGTTTTGCCCAGCTAGCCAAGTCATCCTGAGCCACAATCCAAACCCAGGCAAGTGAAGGCTAGCTGGTCCGGACCTTGACTTGTTTTCGATACGGCCATAGCGGCCAAACCCCCCAAACCCCCCAACTGCAACCAAAACAAAAAGAGAAAGCAACCCCCCCCCCCCCCCCGTGCCATGGACACCTAGAGTATTTTGCAACCATACCCTAAAAAACCAATACCCTAAAAGAAGGAGGTTGCAAAATAGACCCAAGTGTCCACCCCCCCCCACATCAAGAGCAAGTCTAGGCACTTTGGCCGCCCCACTTCGTCGAAATTTCAGCGAGTCAGCCGCTGACTGAGGCCTGCACCCGAGACATTCGGAGCGCGTCACCATCACGGACCCCGTACGCTGGGCTGAACGGATCGCCTTGTTTGGGAAGATCTCAATCTCACTTGTTCTTATTCTTGCTCTAAATCTGCTGGGTACTTACAACGGGCCGGCTGCCTTTTTGTTCTCGGTGGCTCCCAGGCATCCGGTTCCTTGGGCTGGTTGCTTTTGTATTTTGGTTGGTTGAGTGGTCGGGTGTTCGCATTTAGCCCACGAAAAGTTAGTCATTTTTAGCCGCAAATCTGAAGACTGCCCAGTATTTCCTCACTTGTCCAAAAGGGATCGATTTGAAATGACATTTGTTTTCCATGTTGGACCATCGTTTAAGTCATCCCGAAAGGTCGACCTGGTGCTTCTGGGTTCTTTGGGCAAAAGGCTCTTTCCAGATCCTTCCCCTTGGGTCACGAAGCGGATGCCCTTTGGTGTTCCAATCGGGAGGATGGATTGGGATTGGCCAACATGAATCGTTTTCATAGAGCCCTCTTTTGCCTTGACCCGAACACTTCAAACAAAGGAAGGGAAAGTGAGACGGCGTGGACTTAGCTAACCTTACGAGCATGCTGCCCCGTGTTTTGTCTATGTTCCCTTTAGTTGCCTGCCTTTGGTCGCCCTATTCGTTCTGTTTGTTCTTTTTGGATTGGTTGCCCAGAGGGAAACAGGGCAATCAGCCAAATGTTGCCCCTTTTTTGGTCTATGTTCTCTGTAGTTGCCTTCATTTACGCATGCTTTTTGGTTGCCCAGAGGGAAACAGGGCAAACAGCCGAAACGGATCGCTGAGGTCGGCTACGCCAAGCGCCAGCTACAGTTCCTCGAGTCCGTGTTCGGAAGAGGCTGAAAAAATGAGGCTCGCGTAGAGGCAAGGAGCCAGCCGCAGGGTTGGGCTAAATTGTTTCAGCCTACGGAGCGAAAAAATTGCACGCAAACACACTATTCTGTTATTAATAACTGAAATTGGTTCTCAAGCACCCCCCAACCCCATTTTTCGCCCTTATAGCACCCACCCACCAAGAATGGAACTGTACAAAAACCTTCTGCGAAAAGGACGGTAGTCTTTCAAGGGCGTCTCGTTTGCTGGTCGGGGACGACTTCACTCACTTTCCAGTTGCCTTGGATACTTCGAAGTTTTTCGTGTACGTCGAAGTCGTGGTTGTTGTTGGGACACATTGTTCCCATTTTTGCTCATTGGGGTTTAGTGGTTGAAATCCAAATCCACTTAACTGCTAAAATTGAGAATTTTTGCTCCCCAAACCCAACGTCAGTCAGCCAAGATAACGTACCCTTCCCCCTCGGGCAAACCAAAATTAAAGTATACCTCTTCAGCCAGCCAAAAGGGAGAAAGAAGTTCGCTTCACTGTTGTTGGCATGTGTTTAGTTGTTGGTTTGTTTTTATCTGTTCATTTTTGTAGGGGGCTGCCAAAAAGCAAAGCTTTTTGCTACCATACCAAGTTCATCTCCATGTTAGACTCTAGTTTTGCCCAACCCTGACCACCAAGCAGACCGAAGGAAACTGGGAGGGTTTACCGACTGGGCCCCTCTGCGGCTCAACGTGGGGCCTAATGCACTTCGCACCAGTTGGAATGAGCATGAACAAAACAAAATCGTGAATGATGCATGGGGCAGATCTCAACTCACTCCCGGAGTTCCTGGGCTTGAGCTACTTGGGAAGACCATTTTAGTGGCAAAAAGATTGTTTGGCTTTGGACCATTTGAGTCGGAAAGTCCAAAATCCCGCCGACCGGAAGCAAGAGAGTTTCATTCCTACGCCCATTTGGGGCTTCGAAGGAACTTTGCATGCGCCAGGCAGGGGAGGGGCAATGAAAGCCGTGTCGTGGCATCCACTTTATGAGAGCCATCCACACTGTTGCTGGTTGCGAAGTCCTTGTTGTGTGCTGACCAGGCAAGTTGCTCCATGCGCGTTTGACGCGTGGAGAATGGGAGAATGGTGTGTGTGTGTGCTATTTTGTTAGGGGTATCAGTTTGTTTCGGGAAACCCAAAACAAGGGGCCAGAGTTTGCTGGGACCCCGAGATTTTTTTGACACATACCCCTAGAAAACCAGAGGGTCACCGATCGTTCCTTCGATTTCTCGGACCTTCTCACCCTGTCTGGCGCATAGCCACGGAAGACGAAGGTCGCGCAGTGGAAAGGTCGCTTTCGCTGCGCGCGGGCGCGCGTAGGGGGTGAGGGTCGACGAGGGAAACTGATCCAATTGCCCTCCCACGGGTGCCAGGTGAGTTGGAGGAAGGGTACTTCCTTGGCCAATCTAAAGGTAGACCCACCCTGAGAAACCACAAGTCCCTGCCAACCACGGAAGGGCCTGAAGAATTTTCGAAGAGGATGGAGTCCTTTAAAGCCACTAGCCGTGGCGCTAGGCATCATATGATGGAATCATAGTTCTAGATTCAAGGGCCTGCCCAGGACCTAGAAACGGCGCGATGTGTGTGTGTGTGTGAGGCAGCGAGGATGGAATCCCACTATGACAGAAAGGGGCTCGCCACAATTCTGAAACATAGCCTCAACTTGATGCTCTTTGGTTTTGACATGGTTTGAGGTTGTTTTCAGGGATTCTGGTTGAAACGGAAACAGAGAAAGCAACAAAGCAGCTCAAACGAATTTCACCCCCCAAAGCCAATCAACTTAAACATCCAGTGCATGGCGCCCCTTGATCCGGTGCTACGGTGTTCAGCAGACTTCGAGGGAAAGTCATTGCGGAACCGTTCCGAATCCCTGTTCTGTTCAGAACGACTGATGCCCGTTCCGAAGATTGCGAATCGTGCAGCTGGAACGCATTTGGATGACTTCTGTGTTGTTTTTTCCCTGGTTTGAAAGGGAATCGGTTTCACTGCCAGAAATGGTTCTCCCTTTTCAGGGGGCGAGAAAGCAATTAGAGATTTATACCTTGAGGATTCGTCCATGTGGCAAACAACAAGTTTGGACCATTTTGGACCCAATCCGGAGGTGAGAAAAGGTGATCGACCTTTTGTTTGGGAACAGGCACACAACCTCGTTTTCAAAGTTCTGGAAAATGCAACATGGGCCAAACTGAGTTTCGTCTCGGTTTATCAACTGGTGCGAATTGGATTTCGTCCACACACTCCCCAAGTTCCTGGACCGTTGGGAAGACAGTTTTAGTAATAACCAGAAAGTTTGGAGTTTGTTTTTGCCAGTCCGCTCGGGAAGTGAGTACGTCCAACTGGTACATCCATCATGGGGGTTACTCCCAGACGATTCCAGCCGAGCTCCAAGAGCCTTTTGCTTGCAAGTTAGTCTGAGGGTACATGAAGGGTTGTGTTTTTTGGGTGCCCTTCCGTGAATGCTATTGGGTGGGATCTTTGGACTTGAACTTTTCGCAAATTCAAAGCATTTTCCGAATTAAACCCCCCAAATGTAAAAAACTTTTTGCAGGAAGGTCAACAGCAACCAAGCTTCACATTATTTTCAACCATCGTTATTTTCATTAGCCAGCTGGTGTCCCATGCTGGTAGGTGGTTTTCTAGACAGAAGGATCCGTGTTTTTGAGCGCACTTGCATAATGCAGTGGACCGCACGGTGGCCACAGCCTGCCTGCCTGGTCTGGGTGCACCATCTTAAAGGCTCTTTTTACACCGCTGCAATCCCAGCTTCACTGGCATCGTGCGGCATGTTCATGCTGCAAAATGGGCATGTCATTGCTTGGAGGTACCCTTCAAGGTTGGTTTCAAGAGAAGCCAAAGGGAAAGCCGACGCCAAGGCCGCCCTACACGGCCGCAGTGCAACAGCTGCGGGGTATTTGCGACCTCGACCTCACCACCTTGCAGGAGCGGGTTGCGGGGGGGGGGGGGAGACTGTCTTCTATCCTTCCATTTGCTGAAATGAATATGTTTATGTTTATTATTATTATCATTATTATTATTATTATCCCTTGTTGGTTTCAAAAGGAAGTTGTCACTACAGGAAATATGTTTATTTTTCCAGGGGTCTTAGCCAAATGGCAGTATGCCAAAACGATTTTGTATATTCGGGCGGCTCACTCCCGCAGTTCATGGACTTTACACTTTTTTGGAAAGACCATTGTGGCACATAAAAGTTGTTTGTTTTTGGACCAGTCCACTCCGGAAGTGAGGCTAAGTATCAAACAGAATCTGCAAATCTTGCTTTCGGTGCAGATGTGGACCCAGATGCGGTCGATGCTGCCTTTTTGCAAGCAAACCAACCACACACCACAAAACCATGGCGAAGCGCGGTAACTTAGAGGGTGTTCTTTGCTCCTTGCAAGTTTGGGCGGGCATCCGTACCATTGGCAAGCTTCCCATTCTTTTCCGTGGCACCCAAAGGCCATCCATGTTTTCTGGGCATCCATGTTGGCTTGAGGGTGTAATTCACCTACAAAGCAGTTTGTTTGACTGTTTGGGATTTCTTGGTTTTCTTTCTCACCAACCAACAAATGCATGATTCTGCCTGCGGTTCAGTTTGGCCTGCGGTTCAGTTTGGTCCAGATAGTGAGATCAATAGCCATCGTTTGACTGATTTTCCGGGACCGAACGGGAAAACTCACCCACAGAGTTTCTGGATGTTCCTGGACTCAGAACTTGTTGGAAAGATTATTTGGGTATGGGTCAAAATTAATCCACCAAGGGATCGCAGGTTTTAGTCCTTGGTAGGGCAACCCGTTTTGGGTACCTATGTTTGACCACACCCATTTTAGTGGCACAGCAAAAGCTTTCACTTTGTGGGGGCGTTCTTCCCACAGGCAGAGAGAGAGAGACAGAGATAGTTGTCCATCCATACATGCCAACCAAAAACCCCTCGGAGGTGTTTGACACCCACTACCTCCTAAAAAATACAGGGAACTGGCGCAGGGTTGCTTTGGACCTCAAAACTACCGTTGCTTACGTTCTACGTTGCAAGGTCTTTGAAGGGCACTCCGGTATCGACATGTTTACAGGAGTTATTTAGTTGGAATCCGTGGGTGTGATTTTGAGAACCTTCGCCGTTACATCGATCGCTCCGGCTGACGGGGCCCACCCTTGAATCAGAAGTCAGAGTCAAGCCGCAAGCAAAATCCAGTTCGCACCACTTGGAAGCCATGGTTGAAACCATTGTTGCCTGGTGTTTAGAGGGGAATCCTCATTCCAAGGTTTCTTGGTTGTGAAGGATTTCGTCCATCCGCAGTAGGGACTGTTCGGCCCTATTCAGGGCCATGACCATGGCTCGCGACTCGCCCCCACGTTGGCTCAGTCATTCTTTCAGCTGCAAGCCACCAACGGATTCCTTGATGTGTACTCAAGGTACCCTTGATGCCTTTCCCGTTGCGCGCTAGTGTGCTGGCTCTGTCTCACGTAAAGCCTCGGTTTCTCTTTTGTTTCCCTTTGAACACTGCTAAAAAGGTGATCAATTCAAAAAAGAACATGGAGCTCTGCGGGCCTGTAAATTGGGTCTCACGGACTGCACAGCCAAGGTTTTCAGAACATGCATGAACATGCCATGCAGCGAGCGATTCCCTTATCACTTTTGCTATTCCACTTCAAGCAGAGGAACCCCCGCAATTTTGGAGGGGGTGAGATCTACGTGACGACCCCATTCCACTTTACCAGTGGGTCACGAAAACCAGAACTTGGAGCCAGAACTCAAGGGGTTTTCCCGGTCCTCCGACGAAAAATTCCAGAACGCCTGGCCTGGAATGCTCTCTAGTCGGGCAGTTGGATCCTACCCCGCAAACTTTGGCTAGCCCTACCCGACCTTTGAAGAGTCGGAACTCAAAGCCTCGAACAACCAAGTCTACACCTCACCGGCCCAAAGCGAATCGCCCGCATCTGAACCCTTCTGGTTTGCCCCCTAGTCGGTCTATCCTTAGTCATGGCCCCAAAAATTTCAAAAGGCCCATGTCCTTCAAAGGCCACTCTGAACCAAGCCCAATCCGAACACGAACATGAAACAGGT